GAATCCTGAAATTTTTCTCCCAAAGAATAGAGATGCTAAGAAAAATCCTTAGCAAAGTCATGATGGAATTAAAAAAAAATCTATTTACATATTTGAAAATCCCCTCACACTCTGGGCTTTCTACCCTCCCCCAAATCTTGAGCTCATGGGTATTGCTTCATCAGCTAAAATCTCGACGGGGTTCAGATCCTGCCATCTCCTTCCCTAAAGATTTATTTTCCCAAACTATTTCTCCACTCCTAGAAACAGAGTGGTGTCCCTTGAGCTGAGTTTTGAAAACAATGCTGGGCCAAGCTCGCCTGGTCCGACTCGAGCTTGGGGGCTCTGGCCCCGTGGGCAAAGCCGCAGATATGTTTGTGGGAGGCGGATGTGGGTCTCAGAGAGTGAAACAAGAGGGCTGGGGACGGCTGAAACGGATGGGGGAGACCACAGGCTCCCAAGAAAGCAGGGGATGAGGCAGGAGGTAGGCCTGTGTTTAGGTCCTGTTTTTTTTTTTTTTTTTTTTTGCTTTTTTTTTTTTTTTTAAGAAATTGCCTTTGGTCTGAAGATTTTGGGAGATGGAGCACGATTTTGTGTGAACCTTACGGGAGGTCCTGGAATTTGTGTTGTTTTGGTGGTAACAGCTAGAGGGCACAGGATCAGATGGGTGCTCAGAATTAGATATGGGAGCTCCAAGCTAAGTCTTTGTGTCCTTTTTCCTCTCCCTCCCAAATCTCTAAAGCTCTCTGGTGAGCTCTGGAGACCCCAGTTCAGTTCCTAGAATCTCTCAGAGGACATTAGGTGTCTGGCTACAGGTCTGGGGTGGGCACAGGAGAGAAGAACGAGATAGGGCCTCCAAGAATTATTCAAATTCCCGGGGTGCCTGGGTGGCTCAGTCGGTTGAGCGTCTCCCTTTGGCTCAGGTCATGATCCCAGGGTCCTGGGATCGAGCCCCACGTTGGGGGGTCCCTGCTCAGCGGGGTGTCTGTGTCTTCCTCTCCCTCTGCCCCTCTGCCTCCCCCTGCTTGTGCTCTCTCTCAAATAAATAAAATCTTAAAAAAAAAAAAAAGAATTACTCAAATTCCCAACATTGGAATATGCCAAACCTGCTATGTTAAATCCCAGGTCTACTGGGAATGTGCTGGAAATGCGTTTAGAGTGTGCTGGGCCTGCACTTTGAAATGAGGTGAGGCTGAGAGCCAGACTTGAGAAGTCTGCAGAGCCTGGGGCTGCCTCTCCTAAGTGCAAGGACCCCACAGACTCAATCAGGCAGGGAGGGGCTGCAGGCTTCCTCACAGACAGGGCTTGTGGAGGGAGGATGTGCAAGCAGCCTGGGAAAGGGCCGATCATCATGTCCCATCAAATAAAAACCCTCTGAGATGCTCCAGTACAGATGTTTTGCTTTACAGAGCTGGAGTGGTGATGGGCCGCTGTCCTCCTAAGGCGGTGGTTCTCAACCAGGGGGGAATCTGACCCCAGGGGACATTTAGCAGTGTCTGGAGACATCTGGGGGTTGGAGGGGCGAAGTGTGCTACTGGCATCCAGTGGACAGGAATGCTGCTAAACATCTCACCCCAACATAATGATCAGGCCCCAGATAGCACTGGTGCCAAGGCTGAGACCCAGGGCCAACTCTGGAAGCTGACCTTCCTTCTGGTCCTCTGGAACTCAGGATCTCTCCTGAGATAACTGTTTACTCAGTTAAACATTTATGGAGAAACTGCTCTTCTTCCCAGGCATGTCACCAAGTGTTTTCTCATCCAATAAATAAGCTAGTGATTCTGCTTTATTGTGGTCTTGATTTTTCAAATGAGGAAACAGATTTCCCCTATCCATTTACCTTTTCTTATTTTTTGCTTTTTTTTTTTTTTTAAGATTTTATTTATTTATTTGACAGAGAGAGACACAGTGAGAGGGAACACAAGCAGGTTTCCCGCGGAGCAGGAAGCCTGATGTGGGGCCCGATCCCAAGACCCTGGGATCATGACCTGAGCCAAAGGTGGACGCTTAATGGCTGAGCCACCCAGGCGCCCCTACCTTTTCTTATTTTCAATGATTCGTTTTCTTCCTCTGAATTCTGGAATCACCCAGTGTGCTGGCCAGTACCACAATCTGATTTGCCTTCAATTGGGTTTTCATTGTGCTACTGGTAATCTTTCTCCTCCATTTGTAGTGGGTTTAAACACTTAAACTTAAAGATCCATCTACTCTCGTTTTCGAGGAGTCTCGGGAATGAGAGGGGACTGACCTCTATCTTCAATCTGCCATCTTTAATCATGAGGCCAATTTTGCCTCTTTCTAAGGACTGAAAATAGATTTCTTCTAAAAATTTTAACCCAATTTTATGGAGAAGAATTTTCAGTGGCCTGATATACTTCTGATTCTTCATAGTCTATGACGGAGGCAGAAACATGGGGCCTGAGAGGCAGGCAGAAGAAGTTCAAACTCTGATTGCTAGTGGCTGCAAATATCGTTTCTCACAGTTGGTGGATGGTGACATGGTTCTCTGCCTAAGCTCTGGCATACTGGCCTGTTCTTATCTATAAAGGTGACCCTTGAACAACATGGATTTGAGCCCTGCTGGTCCATTTTTTTTTTTTTTTAAGTAATCTCTACGCCCAATGTGGGGCTCAAACTCATGACGCTGAGATCAAGAGTAGCATGCTCCACGGACCTAACCAGCCAGGTGCCCCAGGGGACTTTTTAAAAAGGAGTTGACAGCAAAAGCCACAAGGCATTTATTTACAACTGCCCATCCCGTCTTCATGGGATTGAATGGAAGCATACAGGGGCAGGAGTTGAGCCTGCTGCCGAGTTCCCCAGTGAGGACTGCTGAGGACGTTGGCAGCCCCTGGGGGCCCTGGGACGGGCAGGGCTGCAGATCGTCCCGTGTGCTGTTGGTCAGGTCGGACACCTGGGCCTTGCGACTGTGCCAGGGCAGGTCGGACACCTGGGTTTTGGGACTGCGCCAGGGCAGCTGTGGGCCTTGGGCTCCTCCCTGCCGGGCACAGACCCCTCCTCAATGCCGCTTCTTGGATGCAGGCACCTTCACGAGTGGCTGCATCTGCTGATGGCCACTGGCTGGTGGCGCACCGCTGGGCAGATGGGGCGGCTGTTCCTGCCTGAGGAGCCACTTGGCAGTTGCCTCTGTTGAGCCGAGGCCACCAGGCCGTGGGATGTCACTGTCCTGGGGCGAGGCCAGGGGCTGCAGCTGCCCCTGCCCCTACCCTCCTGCCAATACATGTTTTTTTTTCAATATACATACAATACTGTGAACGCATTTTCTCTTCCTTATGATTTTCTCAGTAACGTTTTCTTTTCTGTAGCTAACTTTTCCTGTAAGAATGCAGTATATAGTACCCATGACATACAAAACATGTGTGAATTGACTATTTATGTTGTTGGTAAGGCTTTTGCTCAATGGAAGGCATAAGTAGTTAAGTTTTGGGGAGGAGCCAAAAGTTACATGCGGAATTTTGACGGCAGAGGGGTCAGCGCCCCTAACCCCCACGCTGTTCAAGGGTCAACTGCAGTTTATAACATGAATGCCCATTTGAATGGCCTTGTGCGTCTTTCTGGGTATTTTAATCGGGAAGCTGATAACGAGGCAAGACAGGCATGTCTCATCTGCTGCCATGTCATAAAGAAATCCAGATTATTATTACCAGAATTGAAAGGGAGATGCCTCGGGATACCTGGGTGGCTCAGTCGGTTAAGCATCTGCCTTTGGCTCAGGTCATGATCCCAGGTTCAGGGATCAGGTCCCAAAATGGGCTCCTTGCTCAATGGGGAGCCTGCTTCTCCCTCTGCCTGCTTCTCCTCCTGCTTGTGCTCTTTCTGTGTGACAAACAAATAAATAAAATCTAAAAAAAAAAAAAAAAAAAAAGAAGAAAAGGGCGACGCCTAAGCAAGTGCAGAGAGGAAACCAGGCTGAATAAGTCCTTGATGCAGCTGGAGGGGCCCAAGGACGTAGGTCTGAAAGGGAGAGTGGCCTTGGGCAAGTGCAGAGCCACTTCTCTACGATGCTACAGAAGGGAGCGGCACAAGACGGGGGCTGCTTGGTTCCCCATCAAAGAGTCTCTATTTTCCCTGTGGAATAAAGTTTGGGCCGAACAGGGGCAGTGAGAAACAGCGGCTGGGCATCGAGGAGGGCTCTGTGTTGTGACAAAGATAAAGATGGTGCACGGGCTTACAGCAGGATGCTCTTCTGTCCGGAGAAGTGAGGGATTTCTGAAGTCTGTTCCTGACCACGGTCACCTCTTGCCACGCGGGAGAGATGAGCCCGAGGAACAATGTACAAAGCAGGGTGGAATTTCGAATTTTTATCCAGTCAGCTCTGGCTTTGGCCCCACACCTCATTACATTCACTTAGTAGATTTTGCTGAGTTTTCTTTAAAATGTTCTCCTTTTCCAAAGCTGGTTGGGCCTAAAGAACACCAGACTCAAGAGGGCCTTGACACTGTTCACTTGATCCACAGCAAGCCCCCTACTCTAACCGCATCTCCATCTTACCACCACACTGGGAGTGGAGGCCAGACCCTCACACCTGTGAGCAGCTGAGGGTCGGCGCCAGAGAAAAGCAGAGGGCACGAGAATGCATGTTTCCCCCAGGGTCAGCCCTGATTGTGTTCAGGTGCCCCTGGGGCTAGCCCCAGGCGTGGCGGCCATTAACTGGGAAAGAAACCGTTTTCAGAGGGCTATGGACTCTGACTAGCCTTTGGGAAAGGGACAGAGGGAGGGAGGGAAAGAGAGAGACACAGACAGAGCCTGGTCTTCTACCACACGGTACAGAACGGGGCAGAAGAGAGAGCCATCCCCACATCCACTCACTAATTTACAGAGATGACTCTGTTACCTAGAATTAGGAACCATCAGTCTTGGTAATAAATCAACCAGGAGAGGAGCAAGAAGGCTTGCTTTATCTATCCTTGGATTCACAGTGATGAGGTGGCCTTGCCCTCCTCCCGAAGGACAGGGAGCAACACACCCACGCTCATTCCTGTCCTCTGCTCCCTAGCAGGATGTGCGGCAGGTTCGTGAGGCAGCTGTTGGCCGAAGAGAGCAGGCATTCCACCATCGTGGGGCACCTCCTGCTGCCGGTGCTCCTGGGATTCCGCCTCGTGCTGCTGGCTGCCAGCGGGACCGGGATCTATGGCGATGAGCAGAGTGAATTCGTGTGTCACACGCAGCAGGCAGGCTGCAAGGCCGCCTGCTACGATACCTTCCATCCCTTCTCCCCACTGCGCTTCTGGGCCTTCCAGGTCATCTTGGTGGCTGTGCCCAGTGCCCTCTACATGGGTTTTACTCTGTACCATCTGATCTGGCATTGGGAAGAATCAGGAAAGGTGAAGGAGGAGACTCTGCTCCGCCAAGGGGAGAAGAGCAGAGACGATGCTTCAGGGCCGGGAAGCCCCAGGCTGCTCTGGGCCTATGTGGCACAGCTGGGGGTGCGGCTGGTCCTCGAGGGGGCAGCCTTGGGGGTGCAGTACCATCTGTATGGCTTCAAGATGCCCAGCTCCTTTGCATGTCGTCGGGAGCCTTGCCTCGGCAGTATAACCTGTTATCTGTCCCGCCCTTTTGAGAAGACCATCTTCCTAAAGACCATGTTTGGGGTCAGTGGGCTCTGTCTCTTGTTTACTCTTTTGGAGCTTGTACTCCTGGGCCTGGTGAGATGGTGGAGGACCTGGAAGCACAAATCTCCTCCTTCTAACTACTCCCCAGCTGCAGAGAGCACCAAAAAACACAAGGAACCGACTGACAGCTTCCCAGTGGTGGAAGCCAAAGAGCAGTTCCGAGAAGCAGGTGAGAAGGCACTGATGTCCCTCCTTCTTCGTGCTTCTGATGTCTCTGTCCTCATGATCTCCCACGGCAGGTCCCTCCCGCGTGTTACAAAACAGAAAACCGGGTTCTAGGCAGATGTCTTCTGATCCCTGTTCCCAGCCCATCCCCCAACCCCCATCCCCGTGACTTTGACGATTCCTTCCAATGAACCAGGACCAGGGTGCTCAGTCAGTACCTCCTGCCTTTCCACTTAGGCCTCTTCCTACTTAGAAAAAGTCTCAGCTCCCGCTTGGTTCTCTACTTTGCAGAGTTATGAAGCCACCTGCCTCAACTCTGAACGGAACCCTACGATTGGATCTTCTTCCGCACATCCAGTGAGTGGGGATGTACTTCCATGACAGATTAGAGGCTGTTGAAGCATCTCCCAGGGCCATGGTGGGCCACGCTGCCTGAGGCATTTCCCGGGAGAACTCCCGCTCGCGCCTTCCTTCCAGAATCTCCTGGGTGTCAGCGGCACCATTTTCACGGGCTTGGTTCCAGAGTTGGCCGGCAGAAGCCTCCGTAAAACTATTGCTTCTCCCCTGTCCTGTGCAATAAATACTGCTGCTGTTGGCATTCCTGTTGCTGAATACAATCTTCCTGTCACGGTGACTCTACTTACCTCTCTTCTGTGGTTCCACGGTCTCTGCTCCCCCCAGCTTCAAAGTCCTGTAACCTCTGGATGTCCCCAGCCCCGCGGTGTTTGTCATATTCAGACTGACCCTCCATGCATCTATAACCCACTGTCCTCTAACATTCAGATTTGGTTTAGTCACACACCCAGCCACATCCTGTAGGCCGATTACTGGCAGCTCGGAGGCTTATGGACCTGGGGCCACTGCCAGCTCCAACTTCTGCTCAATTCTTGTTTTCCACTTGGTGCACAGCAGCTGTCCCCTTGTCTCCAGCCCAGCAGCAACTCACATGAAGGGCCAAATTCCTACTTTTTACACTCATACCCCTCGTTTCCACCCAGAAAAGACAGGAGAGTTTTGCTGCTGATTCAGGGGTAACAGGAAGGGAGTATGATTACATCACAGTATGATTTGGCAGGTAATTTAAAACTAAATATCAAGCTTCTCTTTTCTGAGTCTCTCCATCCCATCTGCCTGAGGGTATTCCAGCCCCCCACCTTCCTGCAGAAACATCTTCCCCCCTCAGTTCTTCCTTGACCTCAAATTCTCAACAAAGAGCAACTACCTGGTTTTGTTTTCTCCTTCTGAATCCTAAATTATACCAGGGTACGTCAGGAAGGCTCACTTCTAAGGGAAGACATTTGGTCCCCCAAGGGACCAACAACTAGAAAATTAGTAATTTTTCTTTCTGCTATGCAAGTGTTTTTATAAAGAATCTCTCATCTACTGTAACCAGAGTCCAGCCAAGTGACCAAGAATGGAAAAAAAAAGGCAAACGTCATCATTCGGAATTCCCTCTTGATAATCCTTTTTAAACAGCTTTATTGAGCTAGAGTTCACATATCACACAATTCACCCACTGAAAGCATACAATTCAATGGCTTTTAGTATAATCACAGAGTTGTGCATTTACTAATACAATTTTAGGACATTTTCATCAACTCAAAAAGAAACCAACAACACTTAGTTTTTACCCCCAAACCTCCATGCCCCCCTCCAAACATAAGCAACCACTGATATACTTTCTCTCTCTCTCTCTATATATATTTCTCTCTTATAGATTTTTCTATTCTGGACCTTTCATACAAATGGAATCAATCATACAATATGTGGTCTTTGCAACTGACTTCTTTCACTTAGCATGTTTTTGAAGTCTATCTATGTTGTAGCACGTATCAGTACTTCATCCCTGTTTATGGTTTAATGATTTCATTGTATGGCTTACTACACATTTTGGTCCATTTTTCAGTTGATGGACATTTGAACTGTTTCTGCTTGTTGGCTATTATGAATAATGGTGCTATGAACATTCATGTACTAGTTTTTGTATGGATATACGTCTTCAACTCTCTTGGGTAAATACCTATGAGTGGAATTGCTGGGGCATATGCTAACTCTTTTTTAAACTGTTTTCCACAGCAGCTGTACTATTTACATTCCCAGCAGCAATGTATAAATGGGTTCCAAATGTATCCACATCCTTGCCGACACTTGGTTATCTCCTTCCTCCCTTCCTTCTTTCTTCTCTTCCTTCTTTTTTTTTTAATTTAATTTTTTAAATCACATCCTAGGGGTGTGAAGTGGTATCTCATTATGGTATGATTCGCATTTCCCTAATGACGTTGAGTATCTTTTCATTGCTTATTGACTATTAGTATATTTTCTCTGGAGAAATGTCTACTCAGATCTTTTGCCCATTTTTTAATTGGGTTGTTTGTACCTCTGTTGTTGAGTTCTTTACATATTGTGGATACTAGGTCCTTATCCAATTTAAGATTTCCAAGTATTTTCACCCATTCAGTGGGTTGTCTTTCACTTCACTGATCATGTCCTTTGATGCACGAGTTTTTAATTCTGAGGACATTCAATTATCAATTTTTCTTTTGCTACTTGTGAGTTTGGTGTTATATTTAAGAAATGGATACCTAATCCATGGCGGTGAAGATTGACACCTAAGTTTCCTTCTAAGAGTTTTACAGTTTCAGCTTTACATTTAGGTCTGATTGATTTTGAATTAATTTTTATATATGGTATAAGCGTTCAACTTCATTCTTTTGCATGTGGATATCTAGTCCCAACACCATTTGCTGAAAAGCCCATTTTTCTTCCATATAATGATTTTCGGCATCCTTGTTGCATATCCATTGCTTGTCAATGTATAGCACTATTTCTGGACTCTCAGTTCTATTCCATTAATCTATATGTTTATCCCTATCCCAGTACCACATGTTTTGATTGCGGTAGCTTTGTAATAAGGTTTGAAATTGGGAAGTGTGAATCCTCTGACTTTGTTCTTCTTTCTCAAGGTTGTTCGGCTATTTGGGGTCTCCTGAAATTCCATATGAATAAAATTGTGACTTAGAAGTCCTCAATATTTTCAGTAAAGAAGGAAGTTCACCTCAGGAGTATGGCAGGATAGAAGCCATAAGGACCTTAAGGTGTCATGGGACCTTATGTTTGCCACTCAATACAATACAGAGGCAGACATATAGACACATACACGCTTACATCACATTCATGGCAAAAATCAGTAACTGAGGAGAGCGCTTCTTCCTGCTTGGTCCATATTAAGACTCAGATTCCTTCTCAATACAGCATTTCAATTTTCAAAGAAAATGCATTTGTTAGTTGTATAAACATCTAAAAAAGTAGATATTCTGTCGGACTTCTGTCAAAAACCCCAACACAGAGATCACAGGAACCCCCTTTTCAAGTCATTTAATCGGACATTCAGTAACTACTGAGCATATTATAGGAAAGGCAGTATCTGATATTGGGGCACAAGAAGAATTTAAAAATTTCATTCATAAGAAAAGGAATAGAGTGAGAAGAATAAAATAAAAAAACCCAATGAAGGGAAACAGACAATTCCCTGAAATAGGCAAGCATACTGTTTGTCCTCAATGGATGTTTCTTGAGATAGCAAAATGGTTGCTGTTCAAGTTGGGTACCAAAAAAGGATGTACCCACACTTCCGAATCTTAACCACTCCCACTTAAAATATTGATTTCCTTTCCACCCACTCTCTGGTTCCATCAGATTATTTATAATGTCCTCCTCTGACACTTAGAGCTCCACTCTTCAGGCTTTGTTCTGGCACTCTCGTCTGGACCTCTTCAGGTAGAAGGGTCGGGAACTGCTCCAGCAGCTGCGGCTGCAGCTACAGGATCTGCTCCTTTCTAGCATCTTAGATCACCCCAAGCTGGCTTGGAGCATCCCATATCCACAGACCTCCCGCGAGCTGAACCACCTAAGACACGGGTGGGAAGTCTCCTATCCGAGTAAGATCATCTAACCCTAGATTCTTTACCCTGACTTAATTGTTAGAAAGCCCTATCTGCGCTGGGTGTGTCCCATGCTCTAAGAATGAGCTTCTTTTACCTGGTGTTTTGTCTCCTGTGCTTGGAAAAAAAGAGAGGGAAATCAAGGTGGCAGGGTGAACAGCCATCCCCCCACTAGCTCGTGGGGGCTAACCACTCCCTTTTCCTGCTCGCCTCTCTGAATACCGGCTCTTCAATTCACCCGACTCCTCCAACACCAGGAGAATATGTGGGCTTCGCGGGGGCAGGAGAAAATCCAGCCTTTCCAAGAACTCAACTAGCCCTTGGGGTTGGAGACCGAGAACGAAGGCTGAATGAAAAGAACGGACTTCAGGGAGAGCGAGCTTAACGGGCTCAGCGCCTTCTTTGGCCCCCACTCTGGCCCAGCTGCACAGATCCCTCTAGTCCTTGTGGCCCTCCAGGCCCTGGGGCTGCAGCACACGCAGAACGCCCGCCCGGGTGGCAGCTCGCCGAGGACGCCAGAACGTAAGTCGCCCCGAGCGGCGAGCGAACGCGGAAGTCACCTCCTCCGCGTGAAGGACAGGCCAGACTCGTTAGCGCCTCCCCGCTTTGCTTCTCCAGCGGCTGCACGCGAGGGCTCCTCGCGTCCTCTCTAGGCGTTCCGGAGCAAGTTCCGCATCTCTATTGTCGGCCAGAAGGGCAGCCCACGTCCCATCGTGCCCCGCGGCCAGGCCCCGGCCGCCTCGCCCCGCCCTCGCGTCGCGGAAATCCTGCGGTCGCCGGGCTCGCGCTCAGGCTCCGCAGCGCGCGCATGAGCGAGGGTCTCTGGCCCACCGGCGCGCGCCCGGACTGGGTCCCGAGCCCCTGAGGGAGGGGCCGCACTTTCCCCTCCCCGCCGCCAGCAGCCGGCCGGCCGCGCCCGCACCCGCGCCAGCACCCGCGCCCGCCCCCCGCGTCGGAGCCGAACCCGGGGCAGAGAGGCGGCATGGAAGCCGAGGACCTGCAGGAGGACCTGACCTGCTCCATCTGCCTGGACTATTTCGAGGACCCGGTGTCCATCGAGTGCGGCCACAACTTCTGCCGCGGCTGCCTGCACCGCAGCTGGGCGCCGGGCGGCGGCTCGTTCCCCTGCCCCGAGTGCCGGCAGCCTTCGCTGCCCGCCGCGCTGCGGCCCAACTGGGCCCTGGCCCGCCTGACGGAGAGGACGCGACGCCGGCCCCAGGGCCCCGTGTCCCCCGGCCAGTGCGGCCGCCACCGGGAAGCGCTGCGGCTCTTCTGCGAGGAGGACCAGCGGCCCGTGTGCTTGGTGTGCAGGGAGTCCCGGGAGCACCAGGCGCACACCATGGCGCCCATCGACGAGGCCTTCTGCAACTACCGGGTGAGCGGGCCGTAGCGGGGCTGCCGCTGTTCCCGGGAACGTGTACTGTTTACCTCATTCTCATGAAAGTACCCACGAGGTGGCTGCTATTCCCATTGAACGTACGACCCCACACCCCCTTCCCAGGCCCGCAGGTGCAAAGAAGTTAAGCGTCACACTGATCTCAGAGCTGGGCTTAAAAACTGGGATGGGGAGGGTCTGCATAGAATTTTCATGGTACTGGCCCTGGGAGCTTCTAGTTCAATAAGACAAACCGAGAGGGTGTATCCCAGTGCTGTCCAATAGAAACAGGATGCGAACCACGTATATAATAAAACTTTCCTAGTGGTAAGAAGAAACGGGTGATGCTAACTTTAATACTATATTTTATTGAACCCAGTTATCCAAACTATTATTCAACAGTAAATCGCTACGAAAAGTGATCAGTGAGATAATTTTACTCTTGCTTTTCATAATGGGCCTTTGAAATCTGTGTTTACATTTACAGCACGTGTCAGTTGGGACCATCCACATTTTAGGTGCTAATGGGTGCTGTATTGGACAGTGCAGGTGTACACCTACGGGTATAACAGACCACTGAGGATTTGGGAAAAGCTGGGCTTGGAGTGATGAGGCTGGGGTCTGTTACCAGCTTCCTTCATCAGTTGCGAAAAACCACTTAATGTTTGAATTTGGAGATTATCTGTCCTGCCTATTTTGTGGGTTAAGGAGTTTCAGTTGAATAAATCCGTTTATCTTACTCTGCTCCAGCCACACTGCCTTCTTGCTTTTGTTTCAAGCCTGTTCTCTTTCTCTACCCCCACCTTCCATCCTTTACATCTTTTTGGCTTTTAGCTTGAAGACCTTCCTTGATCATCTTTTCCAGAGTAGTCCTACCCCCTTCTCTGGTGTAACTCCAGTGGTCTCCGACAGAATTGGTTTCTAGTAAGTACTGGCTGAATACACGAGTTTAATGATACAAGTTAAAGTGTTTTGTAAACTATAAAATGCTCTACAGTTTTATCAATTGATTACAAACAGGAGATATGCAAAGTGGCACTACAAAGTATACATCCACTGAGTAACTCAGTACTGTCTGCCAGGCATTGTTCTAGGATCTGGACATAAACGGATAAGAAAGACATAGGTCTTATCTTGTAGGAGACATAAGCATGTAGACCAAAAATTTCAGTGTGTGAGTGAATTATCCAAGTTTGTATGGAGGACATAGCAGGTCTGAGGTTGATCAGTGAGGAGTTTGAAATGGTTTCAGAGTTGAATGTGAACTCACTCTTGAAGGGTGAGTACAGTAGGTAGGGAGAGGGTATTCGGGCCAAGGGAAGAGCATATTCTGTGGTGTGGTGGCTTGGAATGGCATGTGATAAATGTTAGAGGACTGGAAGTTGCTCAGTATTTCTGGAGTGTAGAAGGAGGAAGGGCGTGGGAATTAGGGTTGAAGAACTGCTTGGTGTTGCCCTGCTGCCATCTCCTGGCGGTTTCTGTTATTACAGGGGACGAGTTTTCTAATGTCCCCGGAATTCCCATTTTTATTCAGGGGCACTATTTGGGGGCCCTATTCAGATTCCAATTGTGGCAGGATTCCAGAAGTCTTAGGTAGAGTCAATACAGGATATTTCATGCATACTGGAATTTTTTTTTTCCCCATACTGGAATTAAGGGCTTTTTTTTTTTTTATAAGATTTTATTTATTTATCTGACAGAGACACAGCGAGGGAGGGAACACAAGCAGGGGGAGCGGGAGAGAGAGAAGCAGGCTTCCCGCGGAGCAGGGAGCCTGATGCGGGGCTCGATTCCAGGACCCTGGGATCATGACCTGAGCCGAAGACAGACGCCCAACGACTGAGCCACCCAGGCGCCCCAGTTAAGGGCTTTTAAAAAATTGAAAAATTCTATTTAAAAGACTATTACTTTTTCATTATTAAGTAAAAGTGAAAACTTTAAAAGAAATCTCGGTCACATTCAAAACAACTATCTGATTGCAGGCCTCCCATATACATCAAATTTGACAGTGATCACAAAGTAGCAGTTGTATCAGTGATAAAGGAATAAAATTACTTGAAATAGCTTCCCAAGTAGCAGGATTATATATTTAAGTTAACAGTTAGGGGTATAAGTAGATTACATAATGTTAGACAACACTGTATTAGAAAGAACATAGCACAGGTGGTTTTGTGAGGTACAACCTAATTTCATCCCCCCCAACATTTTAATATGCAGTTTCCAAGCAAACATGAACATTGGAAGAATTTTATAACACCGGTAGACCCGCATCTAGATTCTGCCATTAGCATTTTACTCTCTTTATCACCTTCCTATCCGCCTTTTCTCTGCGTCCATCAATTCTTACTTCCTTTTGGGCCGTTTAAAGTTAATTGCAGACTTCCTCCTATACTTTAGCATGCATACCATCAATCACACTTAACATTTGTTTGTGGTATTTTTTGAAGTAACACTTAATACAATTAAATATGCACATCTTTAGTGTACATTTGCTGAGCTTTGGCAAATGCGTACACCTGGGCACCCTAAGTCCTTCTCAAGATAAACATTACCTGGGCGCCTGACTGGCTCAGTCGGTGGAGCACGTGACCCTTGATCTCGGAGTTGCAAGTTCAAGTTCCACTTTGGGTGTGAAGATTACTTAAAATCAAAAGAACATTATCATCACCCCAGAAAGTTCCTCCACCCTCTTTTTCTCAATCTCTGCTCCCTCCCCCCACCTGACCACTCTTCTAATTTTTTTCCACCGAAGATTAGTTTTGCCTGTTCTGGAACTTCATATAAATGGACTCATATAGTCTGTACTCCTCTATACAGGTTCCTTTTGCTCAGCATATTTTGAGATTGACCCATTTTTTGGTGCGTTATCAGTAGTCCATTACTTTTCACTGCTGCGTCATATTCCGTTCTGTGACTGTACCACAGTTTGTTTATCCATCTTTCTATCACTGTGTACCTGGCCTGTGTCCAGTTTTTGGCTCTTAGGAACAAGACTGATGTATTTTCATACAGGTCTTTTTGTGGATGCACATCTAGGAGTAGAACCGCTGGGGCTGGGACTGATGTATGTGTTTAGTTTGATGCCAGACCTTTACCCAGAGTGGTGGTTGCCCTTCACACAGCCACCGGCATCGTATTCGAGCCCTAGTTGCTCCATACCCTTGCCAGCTTTGGAGCTGTCACTCTTTTCAATGATCTCGCTTTGTTTTAGCCATTGTCATTGGTAAATGATCAGAAGAAAAATGATACCTACTAGTGTTCATTATTCTCCTAGGGAAGAATTAAAAAAAAAAAAAAAACTTGTCATGCTTATTTCTTAGTTCTGTTCATTTCTTTTTCTTTTTTTTTTTTTTTT